GAAAAAAAGGAAAGAAAAATCCAGCCCATTTTTGTGTTAATTTTGAAAGCTTTAAAACACCTGCATTTCATATTTACTTTTTGTGACAAAAAATAAAATTAAAAACAATGAGGTTGTCTTCATGTAAGTATACCAAAATATTTGGGTATGGGATTTATGCTGCTGAGTTGTGATTTGTCAGCTTGGGGCATGAGTAAAAAAAAAAAAAAAAAAAAACAACACTGACCATTATCGATAAGGAGACATCATCTACAACAGGCTGAGCCACATGGAAGGAAAACCTGAACCAAACACCTAACCAATCAAAGTATGTTCAACACTAGAAATTGTGCCGAGGTAGGAATTCTGAGGTGCCTGGATTTGGATTTTAATCTACATTGGAAAGCTGAAGTCTTCATATTGTTCGTGCTGTGACTTACAAACATGGTTTCAACAGAGTCAAAGCAAGCTGTGTTAAGACTTCAAACTGTGATAACATAATGTTATGTACTCCATTCCAAAAGTGAATCAATTTCTTTGTGAAATTTTGCATAAATGTCAATTCTTTGAAGTCTTGATTGAAAGTATAGTAATACTCTGTTGAATATTTGCCATTTGTTCAACAATATTTCAGTAATACTTAATGTCAACATATCTCAAAAATATCTCAACAAGTTCAAACAACAAACAGGTCTGTTTAGCAGTGATTAAAAAACCAACATATCAACAGTTTGGTTGATCAAAGTTTAACTTGTCAATACTGTATATCATATTTTAACTTCACATTGTCCTTAAATCATATTTTAACTCCATCTTGTCATTAAATCATACTTTAACTTCATATTGACCTTGAATCATATTATAACTTCACATTGTCATTGAAAAAATGTGAACAAAATTAACCTTAATGTGAATATCACATACAGTAAAGAGGTTTTCTATTGTTAACTACAGTCCATGTACTAACATTGAAATATTTTGAAATAAACAACAACTTGTGTATTAAACAGTTAATAAAATGCTGGTTTACTTTGGCCCTCATTGAAATGTTATAGACATTATTGTGTATTTTTACAGAATACATAGTATATCAATAGCAAAGAGTTTTAGACATATAGTAATACCATGTTAAATAAAAATGTCCATACTCATCAAATTATCATCAACTTTTCTCCACACGATGGTACATACTGGTAAGTTATGGAATGAGGGGAATGTTTTGAAAGTAAAAAACTATTAAATTCACCAATACGGTAGATGACCCAGGATTTTTTTTCCTTTCTTTTTTATAAAAACACTTCTTCTGTACCTATTAACAAGGATACTGATTTTTCACTTAAACAGTTTATCTATTTGTAAAATCAGTTCCTACCAGTAGATACTGTCTAAGCTGGACATCCCTGGGTTTATGTAAATTGGTCAGCTGCAGAGAGAGATTTGTAATAAACAGATTATCCAAACTGTCATAAAAATTCTGAGGTCACATTTTAGATTTAAGTAAAAATTGTTGAAAAAAAATCCTTATTTTTAAAATATAGAATATAGATAACTTACATATCTGAAGTCAAACTGAACGATAAACATCACAATCTCCCAGGGGAAGAGAATATGACATGTATGACATATGTATGACATACCTGATCACAAAGTACAGGTATTGTGGTCTTTTCTTGGTCTTTTCTGGTAAAGGTTATCAGGTCATGATTCTTCTAACTTGGTCAGTGGTCATCAGAAAGTAACGATAACCTAACATATTTTAACTTTGATAAACTGGGGTATCAGACAAAACAAACAGCTTGCATTATATAAGGTTCAATGCACACACAAAGAAACCCTGTATGACAACTCATGACAATAGTTCATCCTTCACTGTATGTTGGGTACACTGCAGACACACAAAGAAACCCTGTATGACAACTCATGACAATAGTTCCTCCTTCACTGTATGTTGGGTACACTGCAGACACACAAAGAAACCCTGTATGACAACTCATGACAATAGTTCCTCCTTCACTGTATGTTGGGTACACTGCAGACACACAAAGAAATCCTGTATGACAACTCATGACAATAGTTCCTCCTTCACTGTATGTTGGGTACACTGCAGACACACAACGAAACCCTGTATGACAACTCATGACAATAGTTCCTCCTTCACTGTATGTTGGGTACACTGCAGACACACAAAGAAACCTTGTATGACAATTCATGACAATAGTTCCTCCTTCACTGTATGTTGGGTACACTGCAGACACACAAAGAAACCTTGTATGACAATTCATGACAATAGTTCCTCCTTCACTGTATGTTGGGTACACTGCAGACACACAAAGAAACCCTGTATGACAACTCATGACAATAGTTCCTCCTTCACTGTATGTTGGGTACACTGCAGACACACAAAGAAACCTTGTATGACAATTCATGACAATAGTTCCTCCTTCACTGTATGTTGGGTACACTGCAGACACACAAAGAAACCCTGTATGACAACTCATGACAATAGTTCCTCCTTCACTGTATGTTGGGTACACTGCAGACACACAAAGAAACCTTGTATGACAATTCATGACAATAGTTCCTCCTTCACTGTATGTTGGGTACACTGCAGACACACAAAGAAACCCTGTATGACAACTCATGACAATAGTTTCTTCACTGTAGGAGAAATTGGATTGACTCACTGGTATTTGTGATATAAATAAATTGTAATTTCCCTATGAATATAATCAAAGTGACTATGTATCAACATTTCAAATTTTAAAAATGTACAAACATGGTAACAATAAAAATTTAACTTTTTTAACAATAAAAGTTTACAAGATATATGATATATATTATGCAAATTAGTAAGAAAAATTTGTCAGTTGAGTAGATTCTATAAAATTTGCTGCTTTTGGCGACATTTGACAAAATAATTCAATCATGTTCAATCATGAAGTTCCACACAATTTTGAGACATGAAAAGATGAATTTAGAGCTGAACACAATTTGTCAACAGAATTAACTAAACACAATGTTAACATCAGTATAACATGTTAGTAAAGTTTACATCAATAACTTGTCAATCATTCCTACATTGCAAACAGAAGACGGTAAGTCATTATGCGTAAACAAAAGGGGAATATTAAAAATATATAAAAGAATGTATTGCAGTACTCAACATTTTAGAATGACACAAAACATAATCTGATCACAATTTAACGGGAAAAAAACAAGCTACTGTGAAAAAGAACATTTCATGAAAATGGATTTTTTTCATCATTTGGAAGTAGTTTTACTAATAAAATACATAAGAAATACATCTACATGTATGTATATAAACACAACACAATGACGTCATATATATCATATGGGCTTCCCATCATACATGTACAATGACAATTGTATGTAATAAGGCTATAAAACCAGGAACTGGTAAGGACTCCTAATTTTATTTCATTATACAATGTAGCCACACATACTAGATAGATTTTTAATGTAGGACATAAATAGATGAATTCCAGCAGCATTGCTCACATATCCTGATGCACATCTTCCTGTCATGACTAGTTTTCAGACATAAAACACAAATTAAAATATCCACACACAAAAACGTGCTTTTTCACAGTAGCTCCATCACCAACAAAATATAAAAAAAAACTTTAAGAGTCTCACAACACATTTCAGGGTATAAAGTAGTACAGTACCTCCTAACTGATAAAAGTTATGGATTTCAACACTTATGATTTCCAACAGTGAGCAAAAAAACATTCAATAAAATCGCTATTCACAAAAATGTCAGAAAAATCCTATGTTCGAAAAGTTACATATACCATACTCTAAACATTAATTATCTGTCGAGAGATATTTTGGCATTTTTAAGGAAATTGACAATAATTGAATGTGACAGATCAAACAATTACTTTAAAAAAGGGCAAAGATATGTTGGTACAGGTATTATTAGGGAATGAGAGGTAAGACTTAACAGGAAGGTCGTACGATTATAAGATAATGCTTTCATACATATGTTTGAGCACTGTAAATTGTGTCACTTATCTACTGTCATTATTGATGTGACAAAACAAAATTGGTTAACTATTTAATGTAATGTATTTTACTCATGAATTTATTGGTCTAAATAATTAAATTGATAAAGGCTCACCTGACCTTGACTACAGGTCAAATCACATTTCCCTTGAAACTCAGTCGGAATTTTATATCAGAATTTTTGTTCTCTTGTGTGAAAGAGAGGTAAAAGATAACTTATGATGTTTATCCTTAGCACAAACAGCAATTGGAAAGTGTATTTTGAGAGCTTTCACAAACATCCTTCAAAACAGACTTTTTTAAAGCTCCCAAAAATATTGTTTACAATTTCTGTTTGTGTGAATGACAAACATTTTAAATATACCTATACCAAATTGATTAATCTCATTCCAGGTAATAGATAGTAAATTTTTGTTTGCTTTTTTGTTTTTAATGTTTTTATAAGATATTACGAAAGTTAAAAATGTTCTTGCCAATATCGCATCTAATACCTGAAATACTGACGTTTGAAATTTTCCATAAAAAAATAAGTTTTGAAAGAGGAAAAATATGTCTGGTTATGTTCAATATTGTGAATCAAACACAATAAAAATCAAAGTTAAAGAACAAAATATTTATAATCAAAATACTTTTTGTTAACCTGAACATGAAAACTACACCAGTGTGTTACATTTGTCAGCAATGTTGATAGGTACAATCATTGTCTCTTATTGGTATGGATGACCCACCATCTGCTTAAGGTATGTGGGATTATTTGACAGACTCAAGGTCAAATAGACCTCTTACAACCAGGAGACTGGAAAAATCATTCTTTTCTTCAAGTATTCTCCTTCAACTGTTTTACAAGATGTCTGATCAATTAAATTCTGTACAAAAATTGAGTTATCTTTCTTCACATGGAAGAAAAGTTCCCAATCATGAAGATTTACAATGTTCGAACTGATCCAACCTGTGCGTGGATGATGAAATATGTTCACACTCTGTCAGGTGAGTCAGACATTTGTCTCCTTTTTAACAGGGGTAGTGTTATTGCTGCTGGAAAGTGATATGGAGGAAGGTATTGTCCTTGAACTTGGCCTTTTGGTCGGGGTAGACTTGGGAGTCCTCTTTCTGGGAGGTGGAACAGGGACTTCAATTTGCTCTTGATCCTCGGGGTCAGGTGGAGGAACATTGACTCCCATGGAGTTTAGTATGTTGGAAGCAGGACCAGCCAGACCTTGCTGTGCTCCAATTGATTCAAGCATGTTTTTCACTGTATTTACATCAATGTTTACTGGCTGAAAGTCATCATCCTCATCATCAATGTCTCTGTTAACATTCTGTTTCTTGTTTGAAGGTTTGTTTGGCTGTAAAATAAACATATAAGTCCTATAGCACATGTAAGAATATCAGTTTGGCATGAATTTTTATTGCGATTTTTTGTAAGGAAGTTCATTCTTTTGTGAATTAAATCTATGTAAATGCAGAAGACATATATATGGTACCTTAATATGCATTGACTTGATCCATTACCTACAGTGCTTACCTGTGTGTGTGTGCCATTTCCTACTTGTGGTTCCCTCTCAAAACTCTTGCCCACATTGGAAGGAGCCAGTTCACGGTCCATCATGTCCATGTAGTCTTTCACTGTTGGCACAGAAGTCTTTTGTTTACGCTTGGATGGCTTCCCACTTGGAGGTTGGTCATCAAAGTCCTGGTCTGAGTCATCCCATCCGTACTCACTCATGTCTGAGCTAGACGCGCTATCATTGTCATCAAATTCTGTAATATAATATCATATATATCAATGTCAGGACCATGTGTTACCAAACTCTAAAATATACTACCAGGTCTAACTCTCAGAACCATGTGTTACCAAACTCTGAAATACGATACCAGGTCTAACTCTCAGGATCATGTGTTACCAACTCTGAAATATAATACCTGGTCTAACTCTCAGGACCATGTGTTACCAACTCTGAAATATAATACCTGGTCTAACTATCAGGACCATGTGTTACCAAACTCTGAAATATAATACCAAGTCTAACTCTCAGGACCATGTGTTACCAAACTCTGAAATACGATACCAGGTCTAACTCTCAGGACCATGTGTTACCAAACTCTGAAATATAATACCAGGTCTAACTCTCAGGACCATGTGTTACCAAACTCTGAAATATTATACCAGGTCTAACTCTCAGGACCATGTGTTACCAAACTCTGAAATATTATACCAGGTCTAACTCTCAGGACCATGTGTTACCAAACTCTGAAATATAATACCAAGTCTAACTCTCAGGACCATGTGTTACCAAACTCTGAAATACGATACCAGGTCTAACTCTCAGGACCATGTGTTACCAACTCTGAAATATAATACCAGGTCTAACTCTCAGGACCATGTGTTACCAACTCTGAAATATAATACCAGGTCTAACTCTCAGGACCATGTGTTACCAACTCTGAAATATAATACCAGGTCTAACTCTCAGGACCATGTGTTACAAAACTCTGAAATATAATACCTGGTCTAACTCTCAGGACCATGTGTTACCAACTCTGAAATATAATACCTGGTCTAACTCTCAGGACCATGTGTTACCAACTCTGAAATATAATACCAGGTCTAACTCTCAGGACCATGTGTTACCAAACTCTGAAATATAATACCTGGTCTAACTCTCAGGACCATGTGTTACCAAACTCTGAAATATAATACCAGGTCTAACTCTCAGGACCATGTGTTACCAAACTCTGAAATATAATACCTGGTCTAACTCTCAGGACCATGTGTTACCAACTCTGAAATATTATACCAAGTCTAACTATCAGGACCATGTGTTACCAACTCTGAAATATAATACCAGGTCTAACTCTCAGGACCATGTGTTACCAACTCTGAAATATAATACCTGGTCTAACTCTCAGGACCATGTGTTACCAACTCTGAAATATAATACCAGGTCTAACTCTCAGGACCATGTGTTACCAAACTCTGAAATACGATACCAGGTCTAACTCTCAGGACCATGTGTTACCAACTCTGAAATAGAATACCAGGTCTAACTCTCAGGACCATGTGTTACCAACTCTGAAATATAATACCAGGTCTAACTCTCAGGACCATGTGTTACCAACTCTGAAATATAATACCAGGTCTAACTCTCAGGACCATGTGTTACCAACTCTGAAATATAATACCAGGTCTAACTCTCAGGACCATGTGTTACCAAACTCTGAAATACGATACCAGGTCTAACTCTCAGGACCATGTGTTACCAACTCTGAAATATACTACCAGGTCTAACTCTCAGGACCATGTGTTACCAACTCTGAAATATAATACCAGGTCTAACTCTCAGGACCATGTGTTACCAAACTCTGAAATACGATACCAGGTCTAACTCTCAGGACCATGTGTTACCAACTCTGTATACCTGGTCTAACTCTCAGGACCATGTGTTACCAAACTCTGAAATATAATACCTGGTCTAACTCTCAGGACCATGTGTTACCAACTCTGAAATATAATACCAGGTCTAACTCTCAGGACCATGTGTTACCAACTCTGAAATATAATACCAGGTCTAACTCTCAGGACCATGTGTTACCAACTCTGAAATATAATACCAGGTCTAACTCTCAGGACCATGTGTTACCAATCTCTGAAATATAATACCTGGTCTAACTCTCAGGACCATGTGTTACCAACTCTGAAATATAATACCAGGTCTAACTCTCAGGACCATGTGTTACCAACTCTGAAATATAATACCAGGTCTAACTCTCAGGACCATGTGTTACCAACTCTGAAATATTATACCAGGTCTAACTATCAGGACCATGTGTTACCAAACTCTGAAATATTATACCTGGTCTAACTCTCAGGACCACGTGCATAAAAATTGGTAAAAGAATTTGTCAGCACCCTTCCCATCAAAGGTGGAAATACATAAACATTGACTATAGTATTAACACTCAATGTCATCAAAGTGCTAACTTATAAATCCAGTACTATCAGTACTACTGATATAACCCCCAGTACTATCAAACTTATCAAACATTTTCTGTATGGCTGATATAACCCCCAGTACTATCAAACTTATCAAACATTTTCTGTATGACTGATATAACCCCAGTACTATCAAACTTACCAAACATTTTCTGCATGGCTGATATAACCCTGGTACTATCAAACTTACCAAACATTTTCTGCATGGCTGATATAACCCCCAGTACTATCAAACTTACCAAACATTTTCTGTATGGCTGATATAACCCCCAGTACTATCAAACTTATCAAACATTTTCTGTATGGCTGATATAACCCCCAGTACTATCAAACTTACCAAACATTTTCTGTATGGCTGATATAACCCCAGTACTATCAAACTTATCAAACATTTTCTGCATGGCTGATATAACCCCCAGTACTATCAAACTTACCAAACATTTTCTGATATGTACTATCAAACTTATGTCTGATATAACCCCAGTACTATCAAACTTACCAAACATTTTCTGTATGTCTGATATAACCCCAGTACTATCAAACTTATCAGACATTTTCTGTATGGCTGATATAACCCCCAGTACTATCAAACTTACCAAACATTTTCTGTATGGCTGATATAACCCCCAGTACTATCAAACTTACCAAACATTTTCTGTATGGCTGATATAACCCCCAGTACTATCAAACTTATCAAACATTTTCTGTATGGCTGATATAACCCCAGTATTATCAAACTTACCAAACATTTTCTATCAAACTATCAAACTTACCAAACATTTTCTGTATGGCTGATATAACCCCAGTACTATCAAACTTATCAAACATTTTCTGCATGGCTGATATAACCCCCAGTACTATCAAACTTACCAAACATTTTTTGCATGGCTGAAATAAACCCGGTACTATCAAACTGGATATCATCCTCATCATCATCTTCACCATCACTGGAAACAAAATAAAAAAGTAAACATTTCTGTAGAAAAATAAAGTAAAAAACTAGTGTTAATGCAAAACTTAAGAGAATAAAGATGTATAAGGATCAACATTTTGATAAAATACCCACACAGGAATTTCTACTCCATCCACCCCTGATATCTTCTCTACAAAGGCTTTCATGCTGTCAGCCACCTTGGACAAGTCAATGGGGTCTTTGGCATTAGAGGTCTTCTCAGTACCATTAGGACCAGCCTTTTTCCTTAATATCTCATCCAGGGTCTCTGGTGTCAAATTTAGCCATCCATCATCTGTAACCATACCAACACACTGTTACAATGCTGACAATGTGATAGCAATGACAACCAAATAAAAACAGTAATTGTGTGGGCTTTTATTTAGCCATAAAGAGCCTTAAAAATCAAACCATACATTATGGTTCCTGACTAATCAAAGATATCATTGTCCATCTATCCATCTATCAGAATATTGTAAACTTCATTTTGTAATCTCCCTTTTGGCTTTAAACCTGTCTTTTTGAAACTTTGTAAGCTTTACAACAATTACAGAAAGTGCTTTTCAAGAAGGAATTTTATTTGACAAAAGAGTTATTTCCCCTTCTCATGCAAATAAAACTTTTCTCGAGAAATCTTTTTCAGTTTTTGACTTCTATCTTTGAGACCACGTAGGTTTTATCTCCATGCTTCATTGTTTTCTTGAGTATATTTTGATATAAAAATATTAACAGGAGTTACTGCCCTTTGTTTTTAATAACATCTTGTTAGCGATTGATCTCTTTGAGACTTGTTAAATTTTTACTATGACAATACATTTGTATTTAAATATGCTTTTCTAAGTGGAATTAGTGTATATGTATATAAGATACAGTTTAAGTTAATACCTACCATCAGGGGGAGGTAAGTCTGTTTCTGCTTTCCTCATGGCTTCAATGTCAAATTCAACAGAGTCCAACAGTTTGAGTACTTCACTTCCTGTATTCCTACTGCTTCCCTCTCTACAATAAACAGCATTGTTACATCATTCATAGCTACTAGCATAAAGACTCTCATTACAACAGTAGATTCAAAGAGATCTTGGTGCCTAACATTGTTTGATCTTCATTTGTTCTTTAAACTTTGGATATTTTCCTTTCTTTTGTTTTGTCTTTCTGTTTTGTTCTTAAATATGTGAAATCTGAACATTCCTTTGCAGAATAGCAATGATAATCTTTAACTGTCAAATCCAAGATGGCCTCCTGTTGGCAATTTTGTTTTTCTGATTTTCAATTCTTGTATTTCAATCTAAAACATGAATAAGTACAACTAGGGACCAAGGGGAACCTACATATGAAATTGGAGAAAGATCCATCAAATACTTCTCATAATATAGAGATAACAAACTTTCTTTGTCAAAATCCAAGATGGCCTCCTGTTGGGCATAACTACGGACCAAGAGAAACCTACTGAACATATATGAAATTTGAGAAACATCCATCCTGGACTTCTTCAGAAATAGCGATAACAAAAATTATTTATGGATGCACAAAACATAGATGAAGGCTGCTCTGAATAGCCCATTATCTAAAAATTTAAAAAGAAGTGCCTCTTTTTGAATGAACTGTTACCGTCTGAAACTTACTTCAGGTCTGTCTCTAAGTTACATGTTCATGACCATTTACAACTTTTCTCTAAGTTACATGTATCATGGCTGCCTGTAACTTACCTCAGGTTTGTCTCTAAGTCACATGTATCATGGCTGCCTGTAACTTACCTCAGGTTTGTCTCTAAGTCACATGTATCATGGCTGCCTGTAACTTACCTCAGGTTTGTCTCTAAGTCACATGTATCATGGCTGCCTGTAACTTACCTCAAGTTTGTCTCTAAGTCACATGTATCATGGCTGTATGTACGTTACCTCAGGTTTGTCTCTAAGTCACATGTATCATGGCTGTATGTACGTTACCTCAGGTTTGTCTCTAAGTCACATGTATCATGGCTGTATGTACCTTACTTCAGGTTTGTCTCTAAGTCACATGTATCATGGCTGCCTGTAACTTACCTCAGGTTTGTCTCTAAGTCACATGTATCATGGTTGTATGTTACATCTATCATGGCTGTCTGTAACTTACCTCAGGGCAGTTTCTTAAGTCACATCTATTATGGCTGTCTGTAACTTACCTCAGGCTAGTCTATAATGGGTCTGTGTCTATCTGTAACTTACCTCAAGTCTGTCTGTAAATGGTCGGTGTAGAACTGCCTAGCATCACTCAATAGTGTCTACCTGTAACTTACCTCAAGTCTGTCTGTAAATGGTTGGTGTAGAACTGCCTAGCATCACTCAATAGTGTCTACCTGTAACTTACCTCAAGTCTGTCAGTAAATGGTCGGTGTAGAACTGCCTAGCATCACTCAATAGTGTCTACCTGTAACTTACCTCAAGTCTGTCTGTAATTGGTCGGTGTAGAACTGACTAGCATCACTCAATAGTGTCTACCTGTAACTTACCTCAAGTCTGTCTGTAATTGGTCGGTGTAGAACTGCCTAGCATCACTCAATAGTGTCTACCTGTAACTTACCTCAAGTCTGTCTGTAACTGGTCGGTGTAGAACTGCCTAGCATCACTCAATAGTGTCTACCTGTAACTTACCTCAAGTCTGTCTGTAATTGGTCGGTGTAGAACTGCCTAGCATCACTCAATAGTGTCCACCTGTAACTTACCTCAAGTCTGTCTGTAATTGGTCGGTGTAGAACTGCCTAGCATCACTCAATAGTGTCTACCTGTAGCTTACCTCAAGTCTGTCTGTAATTGGTCGGTGTAGAACTGCCTAGCATCACTCAATAGTGTCTACCTGTAACTTACCTCAAGTCTGTCTGTAACTGGTCGGTGTAGAACTGACTAGCATCACTCAATAGTGTCTACCTGTAACTTACCTCAAGTCTGTCTGTAACTGGTCGGTGTAGAACTGCCTAGCATCACTCAATAGTGTCTACCTGTAACTTACCTCAAGTCTGTCTGTAATTGGTCGGTGTAGAACTGACTAGCATCACTCAATAGTGTCTATCTGTAACTTACCTCAAGTCTGTCTGTAATTGGTCGGTGTAGAACTGCCTAGCATCACTCAATAGTGTCTACCTGTAACTTACCTCAAGTCTGTCTGTAATTGGTCGGTGTAGAACTGCCTAGCATCACTCAATAGTGTCTACCTGTAACTTACCTCAAGTCTGTCTGTAATTGGTCGGTGTAGAACTGCCTAGCATCACTCAATAGTGTCTACCTGTAACTTACCTCAAGTCTGTCTGTAATTGGTCGGTGTAGAACTGACTAGCATCACTCAATAGTGTCTACCTGTAACTTACCTCAAGTCTGTCTGTAATTGGTCGGTGTAGAACTGACTAGCATCACTCAATACTGTCTACCTGTAACTTACCTCAAGTCTGTCTGTAATTGGTCGGTGTAGAACTGCCTAGCATCACTCAATAGTGTCTACCTGTAACTTACCTCAAGTCTGTCTGTAATCGGTCGGTGTAGAACTGACTAGCATCACTCAATAGTGTCTACCTGTAACTTACCTCAAGTCTGTCTGTAATCGGTCGGTGTAGAACTGACTAGCATCACTCAATAGTGTCTACCTGTAACTTACCTCAAGTCTGTCTGTAATTGGTCGGTGTAGAACTGCCTAGCATCACTCAATAGTGTCTACCTGTAACTTACCTCAAGTCTGTCTGTAATTGGTCGGTGTAGAACTGACTAGCATCACTCAATAGTGTCTACCTGTAACTTACCTCAAGTCTGTCTGTAATTGGTCGGTGTAGAACTGACTAGCATCACTCAATAGTGTCTACCTGTAACTTACCTCAAGTCTGTCTGTAACTGGTCGGTGTAGAACTGCCTAGCATCACTCAATAGTTGTTTGTAGACCTTTGATCCCTCTATCTCCCCCTATAACACATAGAATCAAACTTGTACCTAGATGTGATCTATAGGATCGCAATGCAATGACACATTACTATAAAACACAGACATCTCAAAAAATCTAAAAGATGCAAAAAACGTGGACTGTTGCATGTTACAGAGATAAATACTTAAAAAAATTAAGACACAAACACCTGAAAGAGATTAACATTCAAGACTGAAAAAATACTACAAATTGCTACAAGCAGTTACATATTATCAGAGTATATTTGGAGTGGAGGTTTGAATGTAAATGAAAGCATTATTTACTCACTTAAGACATCCAGTACATTAACAACATATGTGTATGTACCTATTATTTCGACCCAGACATATGATAACTGATGGTAAAATGCTATCTTACATAATGTAGTCTTAATAAAGAATTTTAATTTTCTGAAATATTATGAAATAATGAAATTGACATCGTCATTATTCATCAAACTTCAAAATATTGCTAAAATGTGAAATACAGTATTTTTCAGGAATTAGAAGAATGTGCTGTTTTCGGCTCGGAGAATAATTTGTACAGCCTGGGTTGTCAGTAGACAGATATCTGGTATCAGAGAATCCATCATACTGTGTCAGATTCCATTTATTGTACTGGTCAAAGACTGGTCAGTGGTGAACAAACAACATGAGGACCTCCTCAGCTCTTGGCAAAACAAGCTAGTATTACCTACACACCTCAACATTGATTTACATATATCTTTAACAGGCAGCAAGACAACACCCAACAATATCATCACCACTGCAGTCTGCAAAGATCTGTAACTGTCATATTGAATCATGTAGAGTGTTTTTGTTCAGATGCAAAGGAAATGATGGTATAATGATAAATTAGTAAACTTACATGAGTTTTAATTTTATTTGTGATTGTGTGAAACAAGTTTTTGAATTTTTATTTTTATGAACTAACACTGCCATACATTATAACTAGGCTGGCATTAAGAAAACAAAACAGATTTGGTAAACCTATCACACATTTGCTTCCTGTTTAATATTCCACAGGAGATTGTTGTGTCAAATATTTGATGGTAAGTTATGGTCAAGAGGAGAAAAGGAATTATATTTTAACTCAAAGTCACGCGATGGGCTTATTACAGGACAATAAAATAGTACTGGTCAATAATTTCACAGATCAGCTATATATATACATCCTACGACCATGTTGTGGGCTTACTGCTGGATAAAAATGGCAAATATAAAAATCTGGCAATACAATTTTAGTAACACTTTTTATGTGAAAGATAAACATCAATTGCGTGAATTTCAATATGAAGCATTTGTATTGAGAAAGTCCTTAACTGGTAATCACCTACAGTCTTGAACAGCATCTCCTTCATATAATGAATTTGTATTCAAATTGTCTTATGATAATCAAATTTAAAATCACTGAACATCATCCAATACCAGTGGATGGTAGCTGACTGAACGGATATTGCTCTGCCTTTACTACACATGTAATCATATGTATGTATTGTTGTTAATATGCAGTGTAATGCCATGATATAAACATTGCAACACTGTACAAGACATTACAGGGGGATCAAGGTGTCCATCATTTTTTTATCTTCATTTGCACCTTCCCCCTTCCTCTCATTTTCATCATTTTTAGCTCTTAAGTGTGTGAAATTTCTAATTTCTTAAGAAAAAAGCCATAACAATCTAAAAAAATCTTTCAAATCCAAGATGGTGGTTGCCTGTCAGCTATTTTATTTTTCTGATCAGTTCAAAAATGTATTTCTCAAGAAAGTAATAACAAACTGAACTTGTCAAAATCCAAGATGGCTACCTGTCAGCCATTTTGTTTTTTAGAAACTTCCTACATCAATTGTTATGCACAAGACACAGGTGCTTCAATCACCTAAGGCCATAACTTTCCATTATTGTAAGTCAGGATGAAAGTGAATGAGCAGTTGCACTAAAATTTAAATGCAGAGAGATATAGAAGCTTACATGGACAGATATAAAAAGATGGACAGAATGAGAGACAGAAGGTTAGGTAGACAGGCACAGACAGAAGGTTATATGGACAGAAAAAGGTTAGATAGACAGAGAGGTTGAAGGTTAAATGAACAGAGACAGAAGGTTTGATGAACAGACAGATTGGTAAGATGAATAGACAGATAGAGGATTAGATGGGCACAAAGACAGACAGAAAGTCAGATGAATAGACAAAGACAGGAGAGATTAATAGGACAGAAAGAGGTTTAATGGACAGAGAAATAGGTTATATGGATAGAGAGAGATAGAAGGTTAGATGAACAGAGTGATAGAAGGTTAGATGGATGGACAGAGAAATAGAAGCTTAGAAGGACAGAAAGAAAAATAAGGTTTAATAGACAGAGAATAGGTTATATGGATAGAGAGAGAGAGATGGTTAGATGAACAGAATGACAGAAAGTAAGATGGACAGATAGAGAAATACAAGCTTAGATGAGATGGACAGACACATATAGAAGATTAGATGGACAGATACATATAGAAGATTAGATGGACAGATACATATAGAAGATGAGATGGACAGACACATATAGAAGATGAGATGGACAGACACATATAGAAGATGAGATGGACAGACACATATAGAAGATTAGATGGACAGATACATATAGAAGATTAGATGGACAGACACATATAGAAGATTAGATGGACAGACACATATAGAAGATTAGATGGACAGACACATATAGAAGATTAGATGGACAGACACATATAGAAGATTAGATGGACAGACACATATAGAAGATTAGATGGACAGACACATATAGAAGATTAGATGGACAGACACATATAGAAGATTAGATGGACAGACACATATAGAAGATTAGATGGACAGACACATATAGAAGATTAGATGGACAGACACATATAGAAGATTAGATGGACAGACACATATAGAAGATTAGATGGACAGACACATATAGAAGATTAGATGGACAGACACATATAGAAGATTAGATGGACAGACACATATAGAAGATTAGATGGACAGACACATATAGAAGATTAGATGGACAGACACATATAGAAGATTAGATGGACAGACACATATAGAAGATTAGATGGACAGATACATATGAGATGGACAGACACATATAGAAGATTAGATGGACAGACACATATAGAAGATTAGATGGACAGACACATATAGAAGATTAGATGGACAGACACATATAGAAGATTAGATGGACAGACACATATAGAAGATTAGATGGACAGACACATATAGAAGATTAGATGGACAGATACATATAGAAGATTAGATGGACAGACACATATAGAAGATTAGATGGACAGATACATATAGAAGATGAGATGTATGGACTGAGACAGAAGGTCAGATGGACAGACAGAGATAGAAAATTAATGTCTAGACTCAGATGGAAGGTTAGATGGACAGACAGTTAGGTTGAATGGACATAAGAGACAGAAGGTTAGATGGATCGAGAGAGAGGCAAAAAATTAGATGGACAGACAGAGACAGAAGGTTATGTGGACTTAAAGCGAAAAAAGGTTAGATGAACAAACCGATATGGGTTAGACAGACAGAAAGATAGTAAGTTTGATGGATAGGCACAGATGAAAGGTAAAGTGGACAGAGACAAATGGTTAGATGACAAACAGAAAGATAAAAGGTGAGATGAACAGAGTTCTATCAAAAGTAACTGCCATTGAAATGTCCATGGTCTTACTCAAATTAGTTTCAATATTAAAGATGAAGTTATTTGATCTAAAACACAAAATTTTATGTTGAATCTGACTTTATATCATTAGATATCAAACAATAAAAGGATCGTCAAATAAAAAAAAATCATGTCATTAATAATTCCAAGCCTATACTTCCCTATTTCATCAGAAAAATATCACAAAAATCAATTAGGAGTGAAGTGATCATTGCATGAAATGGGATCTGGCATAGCTTAGGTAACCACAAGGGACTGTTAATAACGGACTGACTGAATGTCTTATGGCCGTACACGTAATTACATCTCACAACACGCAAGTCAATAAATCACATCGGGAAACTTAACAGGAATCAATATTCAGTTGTGAAACTTATAATACGTCAAAACAAATCAAGTTAACAGAGTGAAAGATATATTAGAGTATTGGTAACAGAAAATAAGGTCATGAATAGATTTACTATGATGTTACAACTAGGCTGTAGTCAGTGTGATGTTGTAGGATAGCACTATATGTGAGGTTACAAACAGGCTATAGTCAGTGTGATGTTGTAGGATAGCACTATATGTGAGGTTACAAACAGGCTATAGTCAGTGTGATGTTGTAGGATAGCACTACATGTGAGGTAACAACCAGGCTGTAGTCTGTGTCATGTGATAGGATATCACTAGATATGAGGACGAGGCTGTAGTCAGTGTGATATTGTAGGATAGCACTACATGTGAGGATGAGGCTGTAGTCAGTGTGATGTGGCAGAGTATCACTGCCTGTGAGATTATAACCAGGCTGTAGTCAGTGTGATGTGACCGGATATCACTGCCTGTGAGGTTATAACCAGGCTGTAGTCAGTGTGATGTGATCGGCTATCACTACCTGTGAGGTTACAACCAGGCTGTAGTCAGTGTGATGTGGTAGGATATCACTACATGTGAGGTTACAACCAGGCTGTAGTCAGTGTGATGTAGGATATCACTGCCTGTGAGGTTACAACCAGGCTGTAGTCAGTGTGATGTGGTAGGATATCACTGCCTGTGAGGTTACAACCAGGCTGTAGTCAGTGTGATGTGGTAGGATATCACTGCCTGTGAGGTTACAACCAGGCTGTAGTCAGTGTGATGTGGTAGGATATCACTGCCTGTGAGGTTACAACCAGGCTGTAGTCAGTGTGATGTGGTAGGATATCACTACATGTGAGGTTATAACCAGGCTGTAGTCAGTGTGATGTGGTAGGATATCACTACATGTGAGGTTATAACCAGGCTGTAGTCCTAAAATGTTGTCCGTCGATTGCTTTAGAACTTTGGAGAAAGTTCAGATCTGTTTTTTTACCAATCAGTCAAAAAATAAGAAGCATCTGGGAAATAAGGAATCAATCTTTGACAAAATCCAGATGGCCAGTGTTAGCACTTATCAGTCTAAAATCTGAACAGGCACAACTAAGGACAAAGGGGAATCAGTATTTGAAATTGAAGACAAGCCTTCAATAGTTTTTTCCCATGGTACACAATGTAATTTGGATAAAGGGTGCTTTGTACAGTCCATCGGCTGATGAATATTGAACAATTTGAGACAACCTCCATAAATTTTGAATAGATGCATCAAGCACTATTTTTGTATAATATTATGAGGAATACCTGATATCACAAACTTTCCTCAAATTTTGATACACTCCATGCAGGTTTATTCAGCATGAAACATAGGTGCCTTGTAACCTCTAGCTTCCAAAAGGTGATTTACCCAACGCTGACTGTCGATTTTTCTAGCTTCCAAAAGGTGATTTACCCAACACTGACTGTCGATTTTTCAAAGTCCAGATTCTGATAACAGTAGCCTTTAAGCTAACTTAAATGTTCAGCTGGATAAAGCAGTTATTCCTTTGTAAAACTCCATGAAAAAATCAGAGATAGCTACAATTGTTTTTAGTTCTCAACAAGAAGCGAAGAAAACATCAGCATTCTCCAATAATGAGTCACAAAATGTTTTGTTATTTAAAAAAACCATACAGATATACAAAGGGTTAACAAAACAAAGTTGGTTTTTCTTGGTCAGTTTTTCGTTATTTTGTATAATACAAACATTCATATTTTTCATTGACCGAAATTGTCATGTTTGAAATCCAAGTCAACTAGGCAATGGAACTAGGCTGGAGTCTCTTCAGCAATGAGTAATTATTTATATACTGTATGATAGTGAATGCAACATTTAAATGGGATAATTAATACTAAAACTGTAAGGACACATATTTGTCATCAGGTTTTAATCATAAATAGAGAGATATCAATTAATCTTTCTGTCAGGGTGAAATCAGCATCAATGAAATAGTACATGAGAAATAAGAGGTCACACTCAGCACAATAATTTTAGATAATGAATTGGTCGACCAGCGACCTCTTTGTGTTATTGATGTAATTCTGATCATGAAACACAGCACACAACCATCCCTATTCAAATATACCTGATTACTGCATTTTCAAAAAGAAATTTAACCATGTTTTTGAATGAGTCTATGACAATGAATTTGGTTCACCTGTCATCTTTTCTTATAACTACAAACATTTCAAACTGATAGAGCTAAATGATTTACCCTAAAACTAAAACCATAAATATCTTAGCCTTAATAACTTCTTGCAACTTACATACAAGAACAAAATATTTCTAAGAAATGCCAGGTTTGATCTTTGACAGCATGACCTTAATTTTTGTTAAATTCTTGCTTGTTTACAATCAATTTCATTTCAATGAAATGTCACAAAAATATTTGCCATATATCTGTCATGAAACCTAAACTTGACATATGACAAATAATTTTGATGAGATATTGACACAAAAAGACATTGTTTTACATCTATTTATCACCATATAAAATATCAAAAATATTAGTCAGCTGGAGTTAGGGAAAATTAATGAAAATTAAAAGAGCTTACAAGTAAAGAATAAACAAATAGACATGTTGATAACAACACTGAGGGCACCTTCATCTTGGTGTCATAGTTATGAAAATACTCCATTTTTAGCCCAGTGCTTTAATAATGAAAGCAATTTCAGACAAAAGACCACAATTTTACACAGAATCCTCCATACATAGATATCTCTTCATAACACTTAATCAGGCAGATATAGAAAATAGATCCGTAGCTCTGGAATGTAATTGCTAAATTCACCTTAGAACACTATGTTCTTTTGATTAAGGACTTACAAGATGGTCCATTTACCGTTGTTGAAAGTGACCTGAAAACATTTAGTGTTGGAAATAGAAAAATTCTTTTCTTTTTTTCCAATCAGTCATGTAGTGGTGAAATAATAATAGATTGTAGCTCACTCTGAAGAAGCCTCGCTCTTTGAGAGACAGAAGGTATCTGTTCCACCGTACATCACTGTCTGGAGGTGTACATTTGCCGTTATTCTTGGTAGATCGATTAGAAGAGCACCTTGCACACAGAATTTCAAAGCCATGGGCCTAGAATTAAGCAAAATACTAGTTTATTTATGATAACTCAAACAGTATTGTTTGTTTTGAATATGTCTGAATGTTTTATAAGTTTGGTATAAATAAAAAACTGTACATGACAAATCACTTCAGATTTAATTACAAAGAACTTACCAGCTTCATGCCAAGGTCATGGGCTTTGTACTTAGGATTTAGAGAGCTAGGTAGGACCCAGCCACTACGCTTGTCAGGCTGAAACTTCTGCTGCATCAACTGGGCATACAGACATCGTGTGAACTTCACCTGAAAAAGGTAAATAAGATTTCTGTTCAAACATGGATGTACAGACAATGTGTGACCTGCACCTGCTAAAGGTCAAACATTCATCTCAAACATAGATGTACAGACAACTTTGATGTCAAAGCTTCTATATATGTTTCCTGTATTCTAAAGCAAATCAGACTGAGAGTTTTACTCGCAGGCAAAATTATAACAATAGTTATAGTGTTAACAAGTCAAAATATTGCAGTGAAGCATGACCACATTCCAAATATTATACTTTGGTGGGATTAAAATCCATCACTCTGATTTTTCAGTCTATCATACAAGATGCTCTGATTTCATACATATAGCACTGACAGTTAACATCAACATATTGCTATACTTATGATCGGTAAATCTACACCAAAGGTAGGCATCACTTTACACAGCTAGTGATAACCTAATACAGCTATTCCAAGTTGTTAACTGATCAAACTCCACAACCCACCAACAGAGTGAAGTATGACCATTGTCTCTTTAACTTTTACAATTGACCATAAAAACACTAACATCAGTTATAGAACTGTTTTGTACAACACAAACATGAATTGAATTCATTTTGTACAGAAGCTTTTACTTCAAAAGTAGCAAAATATGACTAGTGTATTTCTGATTGATGACTTTGGAAATCTATCCAAGTCCAGAACTTGTTATGTACCTGTATATTACAGACAGGTGTACTGAATCATGACACATACATGGTCTAATACTTACCCTTGAGATGACCCTTGTCCCTGGTCGGAAGTATTGCATAGTTCGACATGACTGAAACATCCAGATAAAAGTACAGTGTAAATCTACATGTACATTAGAAAAGTCAAAAGGAAAATTTTGAATAAGATGTAACACCTTTAACAAGCTACTAGGTTTAGGCAATTCAAAGAATTTGTTATCTCATAAATATCCAAACATAGAAGTTATACTTGTTTAGGAAATTAATTAGGTCCTCTACATTTTATTATAAGCAGATATATGGTTTTCAAAGAAAATTATTTTTGAAATTGTCGCTCAGAAACTATTATGTACCAAATACCTCTCATTCCGTAACTGTGCCCAGAATATCATTGGATGCTCAGAAAACATGAATTTAAAGTATTATAGTATTTACTGAGGGTAAATCATCAATATCAGTAAGGCGAGCTCCCTGACAATAAAGATCTTACCCGAAGGTCAATAGGATCTCTGTAGTAGAAAGCCAACACTCCGCTGGATACCAACTGGGGTCTTTTTTCCAAGATGGCAGCTAGGTTGGCAGGGATGTAGCAGTGTGCATAGTGAGTGTTTTCTTTGGTTTTAGCTGGAAACCTAGTGATAGAATTGATAATGGTAATGGTATTTAAGAATACAAATATTCTTACATTGTGTTAGGCATATTTACAACACATGTTGAGATTGATTTAGGATGTTTTGCAATACACCAAGCACACAGTAAAGATGATTTTAGGTAAGAGTTCTCTGAAACAATAAGCACCCAACATTCATTAGAAATGAACTTAATATGAGATTCAATGTTAAAATATGGTATTGAGGTCAGAATGCAATTTAAAGGTAAAGATTTGTTATTGACACAACTACAACAGCAGCAGCAGTTCATCTGAACCAAATAAAGCAATCTGCTTGTACACCTCCCAATTAGCTTGTCACACATTGAACTTTGACTTTTAAAGTTGTGTCTATGCTATGAGTTACTAGAGATATATGCGTATAAAAGAACATTGTCTGTGTAATCTCTGACTAACAGCTTAACATTGTAGGAAATGCTTTTTGGGCTGTTTGTTTTTTGGTTTGTAAATCCTAGGCCTCATCACAATGAAGGCCGGATACACTTTAAACTGATTGATTAGATGTTACAAGGTGATAAGCTTCTACCTAACACAGACTAAAAACCAGTGTCGGACATACTCATTGATCCGGGTCTGTATGGCCTGTTGTATACTGGCGGAGGCTACGGTGGCGTGGGAACAAGACTGAACACACTGGACAGCATCGCTGATGGACGGCGCTGCACCTGGCAGACTGGTGATCTCAGCATGTGACTGGGGTAGTGGAATAATGTGAAGTTGTCCATTGTGAATGTACACCTAGAGAAAAAGCGAGATAATGTGTAGTTGTCCATTGTTACTGTACACCTAGAGAAAAAGTGAGATAATGTGTAGTTGTCCATTGTTACTGTACACCTAGAGAAAAAGTGAGATAATGTGTAGTTGTCCATTGTTACTGTACACCTAGAGAAAAAGTGAGTTAATGTGTAGTTGTCCATTGTTACTGTACACCTAGAGAAAAAGTGAGATAATGTGTAGTTGTCCAATGTAAATGTACACCTAGAGAAAAAGTGAGATAATGTGTAGTTGTCCATTGTTACTGTACACCTAGAGAAAAAGTGAGATAATGTGTAGTTGTCCATTGTTACTGTACACCTAGAGAAAAAGTGAGATAATGTGTAGTTGTCCATTGTTACTGTACACCTAGAGAAAAAGTGAGATAATGTGTAGTTGTCCAATGTAAATGTACACCTAGAGAAAAAGTGAGATAATGTGTAGCTGTCCATTGTTACTGTACACCTAGAGAAAAAGTGAGATAATGTGTAGCTGTCCATTGTTACTGTACACCTAGAGAAAAAGTGAGATAATGTGTAGTTGTCCATTGTTACTGTACACCTAGAGAAAAAGTGAGATAATGTGTAGTTGTCCAATGTAAATGTACACCTAGAGAAAAAGTGAGATAATGTGTAGTTGTCCATTGTAAATATACACCTAGAGAAAAAGTGAGTTAATGTGTAGTTGTCCATTGTTACTGTACACCTAGAGAAAAAGTGAGATAATGTGTAGTTGTCCATTGTAAATATACACCTAGAGAAAAAGTGAGATAATGTGTAGTTGTCCATTGTTACTGTACACCTAGAGAAAAAGTGAGATAATGTGTAGTTGTCCATTGTAACTGTACACCTAGAGAAAAAGTGAGATAATGTGTAGTTGTCCATTGTAAATGTACACCTAGAGAAAAAGTGAGATAATGTGTAGTTGTCCATTGTTACTGTACACCTAGAGAAAAAGTGAGATAATGTGTAGTTGTCCATTGTAAATATACACCTAGAGAAAAAGTGAGTTAATGTGTAGTTGTCCATTGTTACTGTACACCTAGAGAAAAAGTGAGATAATGTGTAGTTGTCCATTGTAAATATACACCTAGAGAAAAAGTGAGTTAATGTGTAGTTGTCCATTGTTACTGTACACCTAGAGAAAAAGTGAGATACATTGTAAATGTACACCTAGAGAAAAAGTGAGTTAACGTGTAGTTGTCCATTGTAAATGTACACCATAATGTGTAGTTGTCCATTGTAAATATACACCTAGAGAAAAAGTGAGATAATGTGTAGTTGTCCATTGTTTGTAGAGAAAAATGTGTAAATGTACACCTAGAGAAAAAGTGTACATCATAAATGTACACCAGATTGTTACTGTACACCTAGAGAAAAAGTGAGATAATGTGTAGTTGTCCATTGTAAATGTGGCCATGTACATCATAAGACAGAAGGAGAATTCCAGTGTCTTTTACATAGGACACTATTTAAGGAAACAAGAAAATTACCCGATAAAACAAGAGGCCATGGGCCTTAATAGTTATCTAACTTTAAAGAACTTTATATGATAAAGCTGTAGTAGTTGGAACAGTAATTAAATGATGAAAACAATTCAGATTCAGAACAATGTTATAGTAACGGCAAAACAAGAGGTCCAATGGACCTGAACCACTCTCTTGTTCTATATCTTTTACAGAGGTTTTTCTTGGTTTCTATGATATTAAAACCTTATTCCAAAATCATGTTATGATATAAATACCATGACCTAGGATCCACCTCCTTGTTGAGAAGAAATTTTAAGTTCTCACAACTGTTACTTTGAAAGTAGGTCAAGGTCAATCATTTAAATAAATTGGAAGCATGTTTTCCAATTATGTTGCAAAAGCATTATCAATAACCTGGACTTTTTTGTCGTCAAGAAGATTTTAATACATTTGACCCTGGTGACCTTGAAAGTGGATCAAAGTCATTCATTTGAAATTGAACTTGGTAGCCCTTCATCCCAGCATGCTATAAGCCTGATATCAGTACCTTGTGCCTTTTGGTTATTGAAAGAAGTCATTTGAATTGGCAGTTTACACAGAAAGGCACACTGTGACAGACAAAACATAATGGCTTTGGGTCATTCTGACCTGATAGGTCCAATAACCTAACAAGTAAATATCAATACAAAGTAAGGACCTTTCATTACTGTGGTTGAACTTACTCTGTTTTCAACAGTTTCAGGGTCAATCCACTTTGGAAGAACCTCAGCAGCTTCAATCAACATAAACTCCTCATCATTATCGATCACCCTACAACAAAATAACACAAAATTACACAAAATTACACCTGCATGTCAGGTTTATATAAGTACAGACCCTTTACATACATTTTATTTACTTATAAACATTTACCTGGTATTTTCATCTTTTAAAAATGTTTTCAGACATCAATCAAGTTTGAATAAACAGGAATTATAAGTCTATCTTCGAGTACTACAGAGTGAGCATACTTGTTATAGGCCCACATTACGGATATAAAAGGCATTCAAATACCAGGCATAAGCTTAGTTTATGACAGTGCTAAGCATTGAATTATCAAAATCAAGAAGCGCAAGATAATAAATTCTCGTATCTTTCACAGGGTGATTGGTTGGGATGGGATAACTATCCAACTATCTTGGGAAAGACAGCTGCCACCCACTATGATAACTACTCACAAGTGGATTGTGTCATCACATTATGTAGCGTAACCATGTCACAAATTGATAGATTTCAAAGCACATGTAATGGAACACTGATGATGGCTCGACAAACACATAGCAAAACAACTTACATTTTGTTACTTTTTTTAAAAGTATGTGAGAAAAATAAACGTGGATCTGTTAAGTGGACAGAAATATCTCAACCCTCATGTAAGATTTTGGGTAGTCAGTACTCAGCAAGCCTTGTGTAAGATTTTGGGTGGTCAGTACTCAGCAAGCCTTGTATAAGATTTTGGCTGTCAGCACTCAGCAAGCTTTGTGTAAGGTTTTGACTGTAAGCACTCAGCAAGCCTTGTATAAGATTTTGGCTGTCAGCACTCAGCAAGCTTTGTGTAAGGTTTTGACTGTAAGCACTCAGCAAGCCTTGTGTAAGATTTTGGGTGGTCAGTACTCAGCAAGCTTTGTATAAGATTTTGGCTGTCAGCACTCAGCAAGCTTTGAAAAGATTTTGGCTGTCAGCACTCAGCAAGCTTTGTGTAAGATTTTGACTGTAAGCACTCAGCAAGCTTTGTGTAAGATTTGGGTATCAACACTCAGCAAGCCTTGTGATAAACAGATAATTTCTCACACTTAGGTTAAGATATCCTTGTCCACATAACAGATCCAAGTAATATTCTATTTAACATAATCTAAACAACATTAAAACAAAAGTCGCAGAGTGATACTTTGTCCATCTGACTGTGTTTAGCGTGATCAATCAAATGAATAAGTCAAAAGTCTGGTTATGATACCAAGTCCCTATGTATTTAGTTTGATCAAATGAATAAGTCAAAAGTCTGGTTATGATACCATGTCCACTTGTTTAGTTTCATTAAATACACTATATATATACACCGTTACAAACACATTAGATCAGGTATAGAATTTTTGTGAGAATTTCCAACTTGATTGATCACATATTTATATATATGGCTATTACTCACCTGGCAATCAGCCCAGGGAACTGTTTTGTTAACTTGAACAGCAGGTAAACGATAAACCATTCATCATCTATGTTATCTCCAAAGCTCGTTCTTCCATACAGGTGGGCAGGAAGATCACCTGTCAAAGAAAGGCAATATTATGCAATGATTCACCTGTGGTTATTCAGCAAGTTCTGTTGAGGATAATGGCCTTTACAGCATATCAAATACCACTGTTACTATATATGTTCATTAAAGGACACTGGCATGGAACATTTCTTTAACTTAGGAAGTGGTTAAATATCAACCCTGCAAAAATAAACGCCTACACAGAAACACACCATTCAGCTAACATGCAAGAGTAAAAAAAAGCATATACTGAATAGGTTGGTCATCAAATGTTTTTATTTTGTAAATAGGGATAGATCTATAGAGTGTGTATTTGCTTGATTTATTGTCCCAGTGTCATTTTGAGGTAGGATATCCTTGTATAAGGTAGCTTTTGTATACCTCACTGAACAACATAGTGGAGGACCATCACATGTCATCCACTGCAATCAGGGATAAGTGTCTTACACAAGGTCACAGCCTTTTCAGCTTAGACTGATCCTTTTCTTAGCTTCCTAAGAAACATATAAACTGCCACATGTTGTGAGTGTTGAAACCCACCAGAGTTTACCCAGGAGAAATGCTAAGCTAATGCGGCTGCTGACATATAGAGATGGACTCTTTGACTAATAGTCTTCCTTCAAAACTTGTTAAAAACACTTAAGGAGTTGGTTCTACAACAAGTCAGGTTGTAATTAGCAGAAACACAGGTATTTTTTTAGGCCTCTGCTTATATCTGAACTAGGTGAGATATAAACCTTTTATCATTTTTTTTTATATTTCTAAACTTTCTAATATATATTTAAGGATAGATCTTAGACACTTAAGCCTCTGAAGACTGAAATCATATTAGGGTCAGACTTCAAGGAAATCAATGTCCCATCAGTGATGCATTAGCTTTACATGTGACAAAACACTCTTGACACAGGATCAAACTGTGTAGTTAACATGCACATGATATTGATTTCTATCTCATTTTAATACAGCTGGCTATCCATAAAGACATTTCTTTTTTCACAAATTTGTTTTTTAAGGCTTTTGTAACATTTTATTTACTTATAGTATGGAAAAATCAATACGAACCTCTCCTATCATCTGAAGACAGAAGTCATAATGGATTACATTGTGTACAAGAACATGTATATAATAGAGAATATTCTTCGTTGTCATATTCATGATGAATAGTTATATTTCGCAAGTTAAGATTTTTTTCCATATGTATGTAGAGTAAGTGAAAACAAATTTCAACTTTTGAAGAATTTCACACAGCTACAACACTACTAGCCTTTTGGTAAGATAGTCTACTACCAAAAAAATCACAAGCTGTTGAAGGACAGCATACAGATTACCTATTGGTAACATATTTTATATATTTACTAATATAAATACAAAAAAAGATGGTGGTGGCTGGGGGGAATGGAGGGGTGGGGGTGGGGGGTTCTAATACACTTCAAAATCAGTACAGTGTACAATTTAAAAATTTTCTCACCAACTTTTGTGTACAAAGTACATTATACTTTATGATCAACTTTTAACTTTTGTGCCTAATGTAAGAAAATACTCATATAAATACGGTTATAAGGTAATGTACCAGACAAGCCCATATTAGTCCACAAATTTTTAACTTTATAAATGAACCAACATTGATGAAGAGAGATGCAAAAAACATTAGCCCCCATATGATCGATCCATCACAAGCTGCATGCACTTTAGGAGTTAAAGAGTCAGTATAGTGCAGCAGTAATGCACCACTGTTATAAAACAAGTGAAAGGAAAACTTGCAGATCAATTCTGAAAAAAAATGTGCATGGTTACATTCAATACCAGCAACTTTATGACAGTTGGGATTCAATACATGTATAATGCTTGGAAAATACTTGCACAAATACTTTGTCAAAGTCAAATTAATTCCTTAAGGGACCAATGAATGTGAAAAATATGGTTTAGTGTACTGATGTTTTTTTGCTATTGTGCTTGGGTTTCATATAAACCAAGTGTATTAAGTAACAAGAGAAGCTTTCTATACATGGCAAGCTTATGTTATTTCATCTGAGCTTAACAATCTCCATAAAGGATGGGCACCAAGGGAGATAACTAACAACAGTAAGAAGCTGAGAGAACAGAAATATTCATTGTCTCCACAACTAGACATATAGAAGATAAACTCCACATCAGTCACCTCAATACCGTAATTATCCTGAAATACCCCAGGAAGCCAACACCTCTGATTACCAGTAAAGGTGGTTAAATAAAGTTTGCAACGTAATATAACAACTCGGTTTATTATGACCTCAAACCTGCAGGATTTATGATATGTTATATATATTGCAGCTGTGCTTAATTTTATTACACAAAGGTTTCTCAGAGCACTGTAATTTAACAATAAAAGTATGTGTGAAAAGATTTACATTCAAATAGTATTATGTACTATCAAACCAATATATATCTATATATATATATATATATGTGTGTGTGTGTGGACCAAAGTCAATTGCATCATAAAACCAACGGAATATCATAAAACAAATGGAATAGCACAAAAGCAATTGAATGGGTGTAAAAATATAACTTCATACTGACACTACTGTGAGACGTAAATCAAGATGTTCTCCCGACAACACCAACGCAGCGCATCCAACAAATCCTAGCTCACAAAGGATTAATAATTCAACCTTTGTAGCATTCCATTAATTTCTGTTGTAACAGTAGAATAAATTCATTTAGAAATCTGATTAAAAGTGAAAATCAATGCATGTAAAACATTTTCAATTTATTTTAAAGTGTAAGAATATTGATATAACTCTATTTTATATTACCCGGTAGCATTGACTTGAAATTCAATTCTTCTTCATTTTTTTTTTTAATTCCATGAAATATGAAGGGATCTTATTTCAGTGTAATTTCAGATTAATTTTGTATTTCATTTTTAAATCTACTTTCCTCCTGTTTAGTATTAATTTTGTGTGGTTAATTTTCCTGAAGAACCTGAAAACAATCAGGTACCTGAAGTTTCATAGGAGGTAGGTGGGAGAGGGTAATATTTGCTTGAGAGGAGTTATTTGCTTGAGAGGGAAAAGGTGAATGGGAGAGGGTTATATTTGCTTGAGAGGAGTTATTTGCTTGAGACGAAGAAGGTGAATGGGAGAGGGTTATATTTGCTTGAGAAGATGTGGTTGCAACTGGTGAGGACGAAATTATACTTGCTTGAGAGGAGGTGGGGGGACATGGTTATATTTGCTTGAGAGGTGCTTGGGAAGGGTTTTATATTTGCTTGAGCAAAGTGGATGGAAGAGTTACATTTCCTTGATAGAAGGTGAGTGGAAAAGGGTTATTTCTAGCTTGAGATTAAGTAGGGTGGAGAGAGTTACATTTGCTTGATAGGAGACAAGTGGGAAAGGGTTGCATTTACTTGAGATGAGGTTGGTAGGAGGGGGCTATATTTAGGAATACTTGAAAGCTTTAATTTATACCCTTATACTGTTAATATGAAAAATTTCATGTGGTGAAAATTTAAGCTGCATATCGCCTCTATGTATTATGATATTTAAGAAACCAATTTAATGGAGACTGGTATACTGATTTTAAAAATAACCGTCACTGGTATAGAAACCCATTGATATCTTATAATAAACCCTCATAGGGATCAAGATTTTGATTGAATTTGCAGATATTAACATATCTTGATACAAAAGACCTGCAAATAAGACTATGACAACCTTTTCTCATCACCAGAGGCCTACAGTTTCACCTACGTTTGGAGAGACCTTTTTCTGATAAATGACTGTCCTGCAGAAGTGGTGTCTGGGGACTACAGTGAAGAATTAAGGCAGACATACAAAGGACAGTTATGCAATGTATTTGATGAGATATAACCCGTGAAAGTCATGGATAGGATCTACTCAAGAAAAATGTTTCAGCTAAAATTAATTACATTCATCCACATTCTGAAGTGGTGATTCTGAAAAGCCAGTCTTATTTAGCAACAACATCTCCCAGTTTTTATTTTTCCTTAACTTTATTTCACAACAATGGCAAAACAAACAATCAGTTTAGGCTAGCTTCCATCAATCACAAACTATAGAACCTGAGAAAACCCTATGTAGTCTGGTAGGAGACCCTGTACCTTCACAAGCTGTTAATGCCACTAAGCTAGGAGAAAGGACAGTGTGTTGCCAGTCTAAACATTCATTTAAATTTGGTATTTACAAAATTGTACATATCTGTGTGCACCTCAGTCTATTCCATTTCATGATGTACATAATTTCATGTTATATCACAGCTAAATTTTGACCTTGAAAGAAATTATACCAACAAACACAAAGACAAGAAACAAAATGTAAATACACTATCAAATTTTTGCTGTATTCTGACCAGGGCTATTATACCAAACAGTTGAACATTTCCTTTAGTAGAACCTCCCAACAATACATATCTCACAATTCACATGTTTCCCCATACACCAGGCACTGAATTTGATTTATTTACAATTGCAGTCACCAGCTACATGATGGATCATAAACTGCTGCAGAATCTGATAATTACATGTTCTGCTGAACATCTGTGTTTATGATTTATGCTATATCATAGGCGTGAAACTACTTAAATTATCGGGATAAAATGCTTCAGTGATTTGTAACAATTTTGGGATCCGATGCCCACAATTCTATACACTGATATTGATGAGAAGACTGTGTATTCAGAACTCCCGCTAACAGACATAAAAAGACAGGGGATGGCAATCCCCATCTTCTGTACTTAACCTATTCATGCATCACTACATCACAGGATTTTTTGAGTCTATATTTATCCTTCTAAAATCTCAATGTCACCTTGATGGAGGTAATCTTGGTTTGTAATACTAAATACACATTATAATGTGTGTTAACCAGAAAAAATGATATCCCTTTTCTGCAACATCTGGTGATATTTTTTATACAATATCATCAATCAATCTGATGTATTAGTACATGTATTAAGGACAAAACTCACATTATTAGTAATTAGACATGTATATCATATCTAAATAATCAG